GTGTATTTTTGTTAGGGAGGCTTAGGATGATGTTATTTTCCTTGAGAGAGGATTTGATTCTCTTTTGCCAAGCACGATATGTGCACATTACCTTGGTGGAGTTGAGCTGGGTTTCAGGCCTTGTTAAGGCCTTTTTTGCCTTCACTGCTAGTTTGTAGTCTTCTGAAAGACTGTTTATTTTATTTTTTTTTAATTTTTTTTTAAATGTTTTATTTATTTCTAGCAGAGAGAGAGAGAGAGAGAGCGTGAGCAGGGAAGGGTCAGAGAGAGAGGGAGTCACAGACTCTGAAACAGGCTCCAGGCTCTGAGCTGGCAGTCAGCACAGAGCCCGACGTGGGGCTCGAACCCACGAACCGCGAGATCATGACCTAAGCGAAAGTCGGACGCTTAACCGACTAAGCCACCCAGGTGCCCCAAAAGACTGTTTATTTTTGAGGGCCCTTCTATATTAGAGGGCCCTGAATGCCGGCCTTGACTCCTGGCTGTAAGAGAGTATTGTTCTTTTGTTCTACTTTTTAGGCTATTATAGCTGTTTTTTTACTTCTTTTCCTTGTTTTTCACCCCATATGTGTACTTTTTAGGACTTGGCAAACATCTTGAGGGGAAAAAATATGAGGTTGTTTTTTTTTTTTTAAGTTTATTTACTTTTTTTTAAATTTATTTCTAGGAGAGAGAGAGAGAGAGAGAGACAGCGTGAGCAGGGGAGGGTCAGAGAGAGGGAGTCACAGACTGAAACAGGCTCCAGGCTCTGAGCTGGCAGTCAGCACAGAGCCCGACGCGGGGCTCGAACCCACGAACCGCGAGATCATGACCTAAGCGAAAGTCGGACGCTCAACCGACTAAGCCCCCCGGGCGCCCCTATTTACTTATTTTTAAGACAGGGTGTGCGAGTAGGGGAGGGGTAAAGAGAGGGGGTGCAGAGATTCCAAGCAGGACACCCACTGCCAGCACAGAGCCGGATGCGGGACTTGAACCCACATATTCTGAGATCATGACCTGAGCTGAAGTCAAGAGCAGGGCACTTAACCGACTGAGCCATTCAGGTGCCCCAGTGGCATGCAGATTTTGGAGCTCACTTTTCTATTCAGTCTTCTTGGCTTCTCAAGCCTTGGATGTCTTGGTGACCCCAAAGCCCAAGTCTGTGTCTTCTGAGCCTATTGCAGGCTGCAGGCCACTGCATTCTGCTCTACCTGTGTTCTACTCCATTGGGGGGTATTAATGCCCTTTGTTGTTTTTCTATACAGAATAAGCAAATTCTGTACACTCAAAATTATATTCTTCTTTCCTCTTCTTTCTTACATAAAATGTAGAATACTGCACATATCTTTGTGCAGCTTGCTGTTTTTAATTAATCAACTTTTATTTATATTTTTTCAATATTTGAGAGAGACAGAGCATGAGTGGGGGAGGGGCAGAGAGAGAGGGAGACACAGAATCCCAAGCAGACTCCAGGTTCAGAACCGTCAGCGCAGAACCGTCAGCGCAGAGCCTGATGTGAGGCTTGAACTCATGAGCCATGAGATCATGACCTGAGCCAAAGTCAGATGCTTAACAGACTGAGCCACCTAGGTGCCCCTCAATTAATATACTCTTGAATATTACATATGTACTCAAAGAGATTTTTTTTAAAATGGTGGTGTAATAGGCCATTGCTTAGATGAAGTACAGACATTTTAAAGTTGTTGTTTTAGTGAGTAATTTGTAACCACATTCTTAATTCTATGATTTCTAAGAATTAATGACTGTAGAACTACCTTTGCTTTTTTTTTTTTAACAACAGTATTCTTTTACTAGGGGAAAATATAATGCTTAATAAACTATTCCTTTAGACTGGAAAAAATAATCCTTTTGGGATATTTAGTTCATTAATGTATTTTTTACTAATTCTTTCTCAATTATATAGTTTCCACACTTTACCCTCAGGGTAACATAAGAGATCATTTGGCTTGCAAAATCTTAGACCTGTCAGAATCAAGTAATGCTTGTGTTCAAGCCTGACTGAGAAAGAGAGGCTTTCTTTACTTCTTTTATCCACTCCCAAACACATAACCATCTACATCAATACAATACTATTAATAAGAGCAGCGGCATATTCTTATAGTCTTTAATCCTGAAAAAGTTTATCTTTTTTAAAAATTAATTAATTAATTTTTTATTTTTGAGAGTGACAGACCATATAAGCAGGGGAGGGGCGAAGAGAGAGAGCGGGAGAGAGAGAATCCTAAGCAGCCTCCGTGCTATCAGCACAGAGCCTGATGCAGAGCTTGAACTCCCAAAACCACGACATCATAACCTGAGCTGAAACCGAGAGTCGGACATTTAACTAACTGAGCCACCCAGGCGCCCCTGATGTTCTAAAAGAAGCCAAGTTCTTTGATACCCTCTTCCCACATGCCAGACCTCAAAATTGTAGGTTTTAGATTTTTATGAACCAGAGAGGCAAAATATTGATACTGTTTACCTTTCTGAGCTAATCTTTCTCTACAGGTGTCCTAATGGGATCCACAGTTTTGGAGGCACATCTGTTTCATAGAAATACTCTAATTTGTGGGTTTGTAATCTTTTCTATAAAGGGCCAGAGAGTAATATGTCAGGCTTTGCAAGTCACACAGTCTCTTTGCAACCGTCAGCCCTGCTGTTGCGGAATGAGAACACTCACGCACTGTATGTAAATGTGAGGGTGTTGTGTAGCCTCACTGGTATGGGTTCCAGTCAGACTGTATAAAAATTAGAAATTGGTTTAGTGGGCCATAGTTTCCAATCTCTGTTCTAACCCATTTAACTGGGGAGGAGAGAAGGCATTTCAAAACCTTTCTTTATAGGGGTCCCAGGGGGCCTCTTTTGGTTAAGTGTCTGACTCCTGATTTCGGCTTAGGTCATGATCCCAGGGTCATGGCATAGAGAGTCCCGTGTTGGACTCCGAGCTGAGCATCAAGCCTGCTGTAGATTCTCTCTCCCTCCTGCCCTCTACCCTTCCTCCCTGCTCTTGCTCTCACCCTTTCTAAAATCAAAAGTAAATTAATTTTTAAAAACCCCTCCCTTTCTAGAAGAAACTATACTTGAAGCTTTCTACTTATTTTCAACATTTAAAATAATTTACACTTTTGTATAATTCTTAATAGATCACAAAACAACCATTGTCTTGTCTACCATTCTTCAAAATCTTTATTGCAAAAAACTGATAAGAAAATAATATTGGGAAATATTTATTTTGAAATTCAACTCTACTTTTAATCCAAACTTAATTCTTCTTTCATAATACAGAAGGAATTTTTCTTTAGTTATTTGTTTGCTTGCCTAGATGAAAAAGCTGCGAGTTTTGTGGGCTTTATTTATATATCAGTCAACTAGATGGAAAGAATGATCTTAAGAAAAGTTTGATAGGTTAGCTTGATGTCCCAGTTGTAAAAGGCAGATTCTAAAATGAATAATCCTAGAATTTAGTTGTGGTAACACCCAGTGTTGTATACATTTTATCTTTATAATATCCGCTTACAATTTTTACGTTATTTTGTTAAGATTTTAAACTTTGATCAGAGTTATTTTTCTTCTTAGGCCTCTCAAAACTTCTCAAGTCTTAACTATAGTTACCTAAATTAATTCTGATCAAGACCAAAAAAGTTAACAACGGTAAGGGCAAGAAGTGTGTATGTAACAGTTAGCTTTCAAAACTCATGACCTAGATTTTTAGTTTTTCTTCCTTTCTAGAATATACAGAAAGGGAGACTCATTCTTTGTAGGACATTGTGCTCTCTTAATAGGTGGCATTCTGTTGTCTTCTGTCACAAATGTCCTTGTTATTAAACAAGAGTTATCAGAATAATACTTAAAATTAGTACTTTTAAACTTACTAAAATTTTTGGATTTGTGCTGGTAGTATCTCCTTTCTCATTCAACACAGCCAATAAAAGAGAATTAACTTTATGATCTGTACACTTAAAGATTAAAATTAATGTCATTTATCTCCAAATATTATTTTGTCTTCATGCCCAAAAAATGGATATGTACTAATTACTCAAAATGTTTAATAATTAATATAATTCACATCAGAATTCCTATTTTGAATCAGTAATTACTGCTTTAAGTCTTGGGTTTACTTATTTGATACTTAGTTTATTTTTGTTTCTTTCTTTTAGTTTATTGTCAAGTTGGTTTCCATGTAACACCCAGTGTTCATCCCAACAAGTGCCCTCCTCCATGCCCATCACCCCTCTTTCCCTTCCCCCACCCCCATCAGCCCTCAGTTTGTTCTCAAGTATTTAAGAGTCTCTTATGGTTTCCCTCCCTCCTTCTCCTTAACTATTTTTCCCCTCCCCCTTCCCCATGGTCCTCTGTTAAGTTTCTCTTGTTCCACATATGAGTGAAAACATATGGTATCTGTCCTTCTCTGCCTGACTTATTTCGCTCAGCATAACACCCTCAAGGTCCACCCATGTTGCTACACGTGGCCAGATTTCATTCTTTCTCACTGCCATGTAGTATTCCATGGTATAGATAAACCACATCTTCTTGATCCATTTGTCAGTTGATGGACATTTAGGCTCTTTCCATGATTTGGCTATTGTTGAGAGTGCTGCAGTGAACATTGGGGTATATGTGCCCCTATGCATCTGATACTTAGATAAGCAGAAAGTTATATAAGTTTGGAAGTGTATTTTATAGAGTTTTAAAATAGATGGCAAAGTGTTTAGGTTAAAACTTTGGAGATACTTGTTTTTTAAAAATAAAGATGTGCTTCTAGCTTTATGACATAACTTGAATTACAAAAATTTTCATTTCTTTCATTTCTTCTTCTTAATTTAAAAAATTAAGTTTTGTAATTGTGTAGTACTTAAAAAATTATTAGGCTTTTGCCAAGTTAAAGTCAAAGTATGTATGTTCATTTCCAGATATGCTAAATTTCAGAAACTGTATAGATTAGAGTCTTTGCTATCATTTCAGCTTCTTTTGATAATGTGAATTATTGGAATTAACCATTGTTTGGTACATATATTTGACAGAACTAGAAGAACAGACTCGAAAAGCTCTAGAACTGGATCAGGAACGAAAGCGAGCAAAGGAAGAAGCAGAAAGGCTTGAAAAGGAGCGCCAAGCCGCTGAAGAGGCCAAGTCCGCTATAGCGAAACAAGCTGCTGACCAGATGAAGAATCAGGAGCAACTGGTCAGGAACCTTAACTCTTTGTCAGAGAAAAGGGACAGTTTAGACAAAAGCATGGAGCAAACCTTGTAAAACTAAGTATATTAGATATTCTGCAAAGCACACCAAAGATACAAATAGCATCTAATAGCAAAATTTGGAAATAAACCTATACATTTTATTTCTGCCTTTATTATTAAAAAAAAAAAAAAAACCCTAAAACTGAGACCATAAAAGATAAATGGAGCCTGTTGCTAACAAAAGATTTCTGATTTACTTAAACTTTCCCTAAACCACTGGTGTGTTTTACTTTAGATAAATTGACCATGTGTTCTAATTCCTCTTATAACCACGGGCCTTACTTCATTGGGGTCTTTGTGTTTGTTTAGTGGACGTGCACATGCTACGTAGGCATGACATTTAAAAGATCCTAGAATTAAATAGTGGTTCAGACATTGACTTGCTCTGTGTCCTTGAGTCTTTCTAAGCCTCCCTCACATCCTGCCCTTTGAAAACAGGAGTTATGTCACCGCATAGGATTGTTGGGGAATCTGATAAGATTATTTGACAACATGCTCTTTAAACTAAAAAGCGTTATTTAATTTTTTTCTTTGTAGGCTTTAGCAAATACTGTATTGATCAAAGTTTAAAAATAGCTCCAGAATTGCACATTCTAAGTTCCTGCTGCTGAAACAGGAACACCTACTTGCCTATAATAAAACCATTTTTACTTTGTCTCCTTATTAGTTCATTATAGTATAGGTAAGATATTTATGATGTAAACATTTCCTTTTTTTTTTTTAAATGAAAGACTATCAGAGAAACATGTAAAACAGTTGAAACATGTACATGAAAGCTTTGTTGACAAAATAGAAACTTTTGAAAATACATATTTTTAGTATTGGTAATTGCCTCGTTTATTTTAGGCAGCAGAACTTGCCGAATTCACTGCCAAGATTGCACTTTTAGAAGAAGCCAAGAAGAAAAAGGAAGAGGAAGCTACTGAGTGGCAACACAAGGTGATCGTTTATTTCTTCGCTTGGTGTCATTTATTGAATATCTCTTTTGTACCCACCATTATGCTGAGTTTATAGAGATGGATATAAGATACGTCACGATTTAGATTGGCAAAGATACCTGTGTGTACGAATGTGTTTGTATTGTAGTAATTACTAATCTATTGATGGAAGCCCAGTGTTTGGGAGCATGGACGAGGTGATTAATTTCTGTGGGAATGAGGCATGTTTGGGGAGAACCCTTAGAAGTTTAAGCTGGGTTTTGAATGATAAATTCAGTTTTGGGAGTGGTTAGAGACTGCAGACAGAGAGAAGTGAATGAGTATAGGAAGCTTACAAGTACATGGCAGATTCTAAGGGCAACCAGGAAGCAAGCAGGGCTTTAGAGTATTGGTTCAGAAATAGTGAGAGATGTGGGCTTGGGGCGTTAGAGAGGAAATTAAGCTATGAAGGGCTTTAGTTTTAAGTCAATGGCAAGATGATAGGGGGTGTCTGTAGACATTTGACTTTGAAGATGCCAAAACAGGATTATAACATGATTAGGTACGGTTTTATAAAAAATAACATGGCGGTCGATGTGGAAGATGGCTTAATCTAAGAGGTAGGATTACCTGAGAATAAGGAGGAGCAGAGATTGCTGAGAGATTCCAAAGGGCATGGCAACCACATAACGAATATAAAGTTGAATTAGAAGGATTCAGTGACTATGATACATACTGAGATACCTAGTGTAAGTTCCTAAGTAGATGAAGTCCCTATTATTGAAATAGTTCACAAGTGAAAAATCAGAGCTTAACCCAAACTTTAACTAAAGGTTAACTCTTAAATGCAGCCATAATAGCTTTTTTACCCAAAGGTGTATAGTCATATGACTCTTCTACAATGTGTGTGAATATGGTTTCCTTTCACTCTTAAATTTTCTTTGTAGCAGTTTAAATTTCACAGAGAAGTTTTGATGTATTGAAAATTGTGTGTGTGTGTGTGTATATATATCTCTCAAAAATGCAAGAACTCTTAACCTATTACACTATTAGAATTTCACAGAGACACATAAACTTCTTTAAAAACAAAAGAAAAAGCAACAGAGACAACAAAAAAAAAAGAGGTGCCTGGATGATTCAGTTAAGCATCTGACTTCAGCTTGGGTCATGATCTCACAGTTTGTGAGTTCGAGCCCTGCATTGGGCTGTCTGCTGTCTGTATGGAGCCCAGTTTGGATCCTCTGTCCCACTCATTCTCTGCCCCTCACCCACTCATGTGCGCACTCTCTCTCTCTCTTTTTCTCTCAGAAATAAATGTATAAAAAAATTTTTTTTTAATGTTTTTATTTTTTTCTGAGATAGAGACAGCATAAGCAGGGGAGGGTCAGAGAGAGAGGGAGACACAGAATCTGAAGCAGGCTCCAGGCTCTGAGCTGTCAGCACAGAGCCTGATGCGGGCCCCCAACCTACGAACTGTGAGATCATGACCTGAGCTGAAGTCGGACACTCAACTGACTGAGCCATCCAGGCGCCCCTCAGAAATAAATGTTTAAAATAAATAAAGGGGCACCTGGATGGCTCAGTCAGTTGAGCATCTGACTTCGGCTTAGGTCATGATCTCAGTTTCGTGAGTTTGAGCCCCAAATCGGCCTCTGTGCTAGCAGCTCAGAGCCTCCTTGGGAGTTTCCCTCTCCTCTATCTACTCCTCCCCAACTCCTGCTGTCTCTGTTTCTCTCAAAATAAATAAGCTTTAAAAGTACATTAATAGGGGGGCGCCTGGGTGGCTTAGTCAGTTAAGCGTCCGACTTTCTGACTTTCGCTTAGGTCATGATCTCACAGTTCGTGGGTTCGAGCTCCGCGTCGGGCTCTGTGCTGACTGCCAGCTCAGAGCCTGGAGCCTGTTTCAGTCTGTGACTCCCTCTCTCTCTGACCCTCCCCTGCTCACGCTGTCTCTCTCTCCTAGAAATAAATAAAACATTAAAAAAAAAACAATAATAAAATAAAATAAAAGTACATTAATAGGGACGCCTGGGTGGCTCAGTTGGTTAAGCGTCCAACTTCGGCTCAGGTCATGATCTCACGTTGTGGGTTCCAGTCCCGCGTCAGGCTCTGTGCTGACAGCTCAGAGCCTGGAGCCTGCTTCAGATTCTGTGTCTCCCTCTCTCTCTGAACCTCCCCTGCTCACACTGTCTGTCTATCTGTCTGTCTCTCTCTCTCTGAAATAAATAAAACATTAAAAAAAATAGAATGATGAAGGATGATTTGGTGGGAATAATTGTTAAAAATAAATAAATGTACATAAATAAAAATAAAAATGTAAATAAATGAAAATAGCACCACAGAGGTAAATCCTATGAACTATACAAATGAGGAAATGACACGAATGGAAAATTATAATCCCGCAAACCAGGATCACTATCGTAACACTTTAGTGCAGATCCTTCCACGTTCTTTTCCTTTTTGCGTGTTTGTATAATGTACACATATATGTGTTCAAAGTGAGATCATATCATACTCTTCCATTTTAGTCACTTTTCATCTCATCTGTATTAGACTGTATTCATAGAAATTTTTAACTTCATATATAATGGACATATTATGTTAGTTTCAGGTGTACAACTTCATTATTTGGTACTATATGTATGGTGAAATGAGCTAACACACATCACCATACATAGTTATAATTTGTTTTCTTGTCTTGAAAACTTTTTTTTTTTTTTTTAATATTTTTATTTATTTCTAGGAGAGAGAGAGAGACAGCGTGAGCAGGGGAGGGTCAGAGAGAGAGGGAGTCACAGACTGAAACAGGCTCCAGGCTCTGAGCTGGCAGTCAGCACAGAGCCCGACACGGGGCTCGAACCCACGAACCGCGAGCTCATGACCTAAGCGAAAGTCGGACGCTTAACCGACTAAGCCACCCAGGCGCCCTATCTTGTCTTGAAAACTTTTAAGGTTCACTCTTAGCAACTTTCAAATGTACAACGCAATATTACTGACTGTAGTCTCCATGCTGTTTGCACATTACATCCCCACGACTTCTTCATCTTACAGCTGGGAGTTTGTACTTTTCAGTCCTCTCCTCCCGTTGGCTCACTCCCCACCCTCCCCGCCACCCCCCATTCTTGGTAACTATGAATTTGTTCTCAATTTTTTATCAGTTTAATTTTTTCTTTTTTAGATTCCACATATAAATGAGATCATACGGTATTTGTCTTTATCTGACTTATTTCACTTAAGGTAGTGCCCTCAAGTTCCATGTTGATACAGACAGCGAGCTTTTCTTCTTTTGTGTGGCTGAATAGTATTCGTGTGTGTGTTGTGTGTACACAGCACTTTCATCATCCATCGATGGGTGCTTAGCTTGCTTCATATCCTGGCTGTTAAAAATAATGCTGCACTGAACATGGTGGTATTATATATCTTTTTGAGTTAGCGTTTTCATTTTGGGGGGATAAATACCTAGAAGTGGAATTGCTGGATCATATGGTAGTTCTGTTTTTAATTTTTTGAAGAAAAACTTCTTGAAACTTGTGTTTTCCATAATAGCTGTACCAGTTTACATGGTCACTAATAGTGCACACAGCATCCCTTTTCTCCACAGCCTTGCCAGCACTTGCTGTTTCTTTTCTTTTTTATAAAAGCCATTTTGAGTGGTGCGGGAGTGATATCTCATTGTAGTTATGATTTGCATTTCCGTGATTACTGATGTTGAGCACCTTTTCATGTGCCTTGGTGGCCATCTGTATGTCTTCTATGGAAAATGTCTATTCAGACCCTCTGAATTTTTTTAATCAGATTGTCCTATAACTACCGTGTTGTTTGAATTCTTTATATATTTTGGATATATGATTTGTAAATATTTTCTTCCACTCAGTAGGTTGCCTTTTTTTTTTTTTTTTTTGATGGTTTCCTTTGCTGTGTAGGGAAGCTTTTTAATTTGATGTCCCATTTGTTTAGTTTTTGCTTTTGGTATCAAATCCAAAAACTCTTTCCCAAGACCAATGTCAAGGAGATTGCTCCCTATGTTTTCTTCCAGGAGTTTGATGGTTTTAGGTCTTATTTTCAAGTCTGTGGTCATTTTGAGTGGATACTGTGTACGCTATAAGATAGTGGCCTAGTTTCATTCTTTTGCGTGTATCTCTCCAGTTTTCCCAGCAGTTATTGAAGGGACCATCCTTTCCCCATTGTATATTCTTGGCTGCTTTGTTGTAAATTAATTGATCATATTTATTTATTTATAAATATGTGGGTTTATTTCTGGGCAGAATATATTGAGAATTGACCCAACATCTTTTATAGCTAATTTGCCAGGCCAGTGTCCACATTAGGACCTTGCATTGTGTAGGTTTGCTCTGTCTCTTTTAAAGTAGGACATTCCTTTTTATGATGCTGAATTCCTGGAAGGACCTGTAGATTGTCCCTTCTCCTTTGTCTCTTCGCTTCCTCGTGGTGTCATTCAGTTGTCCTTTTATGGTCAATATTTCCCGTAAACTGGAAGATAGACCTAAAATCTTGAAGGATTCAAGTTAAAAAGTTTTTGGCTACAGTGCCTCACAGGTGAGACTTCCATATAATTTATCACCCAAATTAGAACACTTTTTAGAGTGAAAGGTATTCTTATTAATAATTACACCAGGACAGCAGTGTGATTTTCCAGGCACAGCAACACAGTACACCACCCAGACAGTTGCTGGTGTTGAATACCTCCTGTTGTATCATCTCACAAGACACTGAATATCTTGTTAACCTACCACTAGTGATTTTAACTGGTTGCTAGAATAGAGTGAGTTTCTCCCTTGACAGGTGCTCCCCCTTGTGGCTAAAATGGGATCTCTTAGGTGTGGCATTTGGGATTCGGCTGATAGCATTTCTCATCAACTATTTGCATACCAAGTTTAGCAACATTTGATCATTCTTGCCAGAGTTAACAATTTTAGTGATGTGTTTTCATTCTGCCACTCTTGCCCACTGGCATTCCTCCATAAAAATAGAGCTTTCATCAGTCGGGCTTGTTTTTGTTACCCTGAAGTATAGTTTCTATTAGGAAGGAACGATAACTTGGTTCTCTTCATTACCAGTTTTCGAAGGAAGTTGCTGATTAACTTTTTTTTAATGTTCAGGCTTTTGCAGCCCAGGAAGACTTGGAAAAGACCAAAGAGGAGTTAAAAACTGTGATGTCTGCGCCCCCTCCACCTCCACCACCGCCAGTCATTCCTCCGACAGAAAACGAACACGATGAGCATGATGAGAACAGTGCAGAGGCCAGTGCGGAATTAGCAAACGACGGGGTGCTGAACCACAGGAGTGAAGAGGAGCGTGTCACAGAAACACAGAAGAATGAGCGTGTTAAAAAGCAACTCCAGGTATTTCATATTTACAGTTGTGTGTACATTTATAGTACAGTGAGCATTTTCCCCATTTAATAAAAGACAGACTTACTAAAAAGGAACATTTCCGGGTTTTTTTTAAGCCTTTACCCCTAGCTAGCCTTGTGATTGGTTTGTGATTGTGCGGCCTGAGTCACACTGTTTGATTTCTTCCATTGTAGCAAATGTTTGTTAGCCTTGGGTAATTAGGCCTTAAGTGGTAAGTTATTCTTTAATTACAGCTTAACTCAGTGTTAAAATGTGGAAAGTATTTTGGTGCTGTCTCTAAATGACAGATGAATTTAATTTTTAACCAGTAAAATATACATTAAAAAGCAACATAATTTAATAGACTATCTGCGTGACACTGCATACTCTGGATTATTTGTTCAGGTTTCATAATTCCGAGAGGTAGGTTTATATAAAGCACATAATTAGATCAAAGTAGGAAATTTTAATTTTATTTGACCTTTTTTCTAGATAAGTTCTCTGATTTTTTTAATTGATGAAATCTTTGAATATTAAGAAAAGAAAATGAAGCGATAATTGCAATAAATACATTAAGGCTTTTGGAGAAAGCTTCTCATGAGACTTTAGATATTAAAATAACATCCTATATGTCTACACTGACCTTTTGTAAGGCATTTCAAGTATTATATAAAGAAAGTTAAGGAAATTTAGAATAATATACAAAATCATCACAGCTGATGAGTGTAGAAGTGAAAGGCCATGGGTATTCCTCCCTAACCACCACCTCTACTACTACCAAACAAATTTACACACTTCGTGGTTTTTTTATTTTTTAAATTTACACATTTTAAAGAAATCATATGACAATGTAAATCTTAATACAACAAATCTGACTTTTTTGTATATGTGTATTTTTGTCTTTAAACCTTTTTCATACGCTTTTTAAACTCTGAGAAAAGATAATAATCATTGTTTTTATTTTCTAAACATAGGCGCTAAGTTCAGAATTAGCCCAGGCCAGAGATGAAACCAAGAAAACACAAAATGATGTGCTTCATGCTGAGAACGTTAAAGCAGGCCGTGATAAGTACAAGACTCTCCGGCAGATCCGACAGGGCAACACAAAGCAGCGCATCGATGAGTTTGAAGCAATGTGAGAGCTGTTATTTTGCATACATGTTCTTCATAAGCTGAACCACCAACAGAGAAAAGCAGGCCTTTGCAGATGTGATGGAATGCACCCCACCTTGCCAAAGCACTTACACCAGTTGACTGTGGTGGCTAAAAGACCTCCTTGAGGGAACCCTTCAGCATTGAGGCAGTGTGATGTCATGCTTGATTTCCTTTTCCTTTTGGGCCAGGGAATGGAGAACAGTGTTCCATCACCTCTTTTCACATTTTCAGTTTCCATTTTTTTTTCTGTTGAAGATTAACACTAATTATCATGTTTGACAAATGTGTATGTGTGATTTAAGCACTTTGTACATTTCAAAGGATGATGGCGACTTAATGAGAGTTTGCGTAGAGCACTCGGTTTTCTTTTGACCCTTCCATAGTTTACCTGTGTGTATTTCCACATTCTGTCTCACTCAGATTTCCTTGATGTGCCCTTATCGTATCTCACCATGCCGATAGCCATAATTCTGCCATCAGATAGATCATTGGCAGTGGTCAGAATGAAGGTAGGACAGGGTGGACAGTCTTTGATAATTGTGTAGAAGACCGGGAAGACCGCTATGAATCATGAAAAGGATTAGAATAACTAATAGTGTAATATGCAGCTGGTGGTTAATGTTTTTTAAAACCCAGTTTGCTTACATTATTGGATATTTGATACTTGCTTAATTAGTTATCTTTGATAGCTGAATGGATTGGTGTTTCATCGCCTGCCATCCTTTGGTTTTCTTTGCCTGCCATTCACAAAGGTGTAGACGGCAGGTGGTAGTTCCCGAGGAGAATTTATTGATGAAATACTACCTGCAAATACCAGTTGTCTCCAAAAGGTTTAAAAAGTCTTTTCTTTCAAAGATTGATGTAGACAAACATGTTTAAAAAAAAATCCATTTGTTGGTAATTGATTATACTCATTTTAAAAAGCCTTGGGCTTTTATTTAAGGGCAGCATTTGCAAACATCAGTCCCAGGGAGGGGACAGTAACACTACCTCACTACTACACCTGCGATGACTGGCTTTTCCAACACAGCGAAGTGTGTGAGCTGTGTTCTCTAACACACACCAGTACTGTCAGTCATGGAGCATTTCTGAGATTTCCTTTGCCTTCAGAATATCTTAGAGTGCTACACTTTTTAACTGCCTTTTTGTTGAGCTGAATTGTAGGACTCTGATTTATATGAAAATTGTAAGCTCTTGCTGGTATACTATCTTCCTGGAGGGTGTTCTGTGTCTGAGGAAGAGTGTGTGTGTGCGCGTGTGCGAGAGAGAGAGAGAGAGAAAGAGAGAGTTTTGCCCTTGTTGCATATGAATGTCTGTACCTTCATTTCTTGATATAATTGTTACATAATCATTTTAGCAGATTTGGTTTCTAAATCGTGCTTATTTTTTCGTTCTCTAACTAAAAATACTTAAATTTGGTTTGTTGATCCTATTTTAGAAATTATAATTTTAGGTTATATTAAGTTCAATTATGTCTTAAGAAATCTTTCCAGTTTGAAAGATGTTCTAATACTCACATGTTCTAACATTTTCTTTATTGTAAAACATCTAGACTTGGAGATGAGGAAAGCCTTGTTTTCTCTGTGTGGTTCAGCTACTTTTCATGTGGTATTATGCACTCAAATTTACATTTATCTATTAAAATTGCCATTTGTTAAGCATTTTTCATGCACAGTAGATTCAAGTTGTGTCTGAAAATATCTCTTGTGCTTTTTTTGATTTTGCTGACTTTAAAAGGATTAATCTGGGCAGACATAGGGAAAGGAAAGGTTGCATTTAATATATTTTTGGACTCTGTAGGACAAGAGATAACTGGTTGATAACCTTGACGTGACTGTTGTGTGGTGGTTGTGCACATGCTTCAAAACCCCGTGGAAGAGAGTTTCTGCCTGAGCACGTGGGCGGGAGCGGTGGTGCGCCCGGCCCGTCCTGCTCTCGCGGCCGTGCTCGCTTTTCCAGAGCGGCCAAGCAGTTGCCCTAAGAGGTGAAAATGTGGATTTCCACTGGATTTCTGTTCATTTTCTACATTTTGAATCGTGTGCACTACCATTGCTGCATCAGTTTGATATCAGTGTTGAAAATTTACCAGTTATATTTGCTGTTTATAATCTATTTGTAGATTAGGATTAAAATGGATTTAATCCATTTTTAAAGCTGTGTGAATTTTTCTAAACAGGAAACAACTATTTGCAATATGGGTTTTCATAGCGATTAAGCCAGTTATGATTTTTATTATTAGCAATTGAGAGCACGTGCTCATCTAGCAATGTAAAAATATATGAATGAGTATTTGGTAAATTCCAGCAGGTTTTACCATGAGCATAATTTTGTGTTGTACAATTAAGCTACAGTTACATCTATAATTTTGGATAACATTCATTGGTTAACAATAAAGTGACAAAAGCTCATGCCTTCAAGGTCCACTGTTGTTATTTAACATGGATTTTTCTGTATAATTCTGAAAATCATAATCTTTATTAGGCCCATGAATCATCACATCTTAAAAATGAGAAGTGGATAGGGAAAACTTTCAAAATTCTCACAGATTTATCTTTCCCCCAGATTGTACCTCATTTGGTATGGAAATAATAGTGATTGTTAATTCTGTGAAGAATCATTAAGTCGACTCTCTTGATAACAAAATCATTTAGGATTTCTAATCATTGCTTTAATTGTATATTGTTTATAGTTTCTTTCTCCTAAGGAAGATACAGTTTCATTGTCACAGATTGATCTTGCTATAAAAACACTATTGTTCTTTAAAGAACTATATACTAATAAGTGCTTTTATTTAACTACATATTTTTATTTTCAAGTGACATTACAGAGCAGTTACCATAAATTTAGAAAGTTATTGTCCTTTAAAAAGCTTCTTGCCAGTTTTTAACATAAAGATTATTCATTTTAAGTGAGTCATGGATTCCAAAAGGAAAAGTGAGGTGACTCTCAATTTATAGTAATACTTACCTGTCATTTTATTATTTTTTTCTTACAGGTAGGTAGTGATTTCTTCTGATCCTATCAGAAAACAGAATATTATAAGATTATTTTATATCTAGTTAGAGTTTTTCTTTAAGAACTAGAATTCCCGTTACAGAGTTGTCTTAGGCTCGACTGGAACCCTCCCTCCTGATGATCATTAGAGAACCATTTCAATACTAATGTTAGGATTAAAAATAAAAAATGCCCACTACTTCCTGTCTCAAGTTCAATTATCTTGTTGATTAGTGATATTTTTACAACTGAAGCTAAAAACTTTTTAGATCCCAAAGCATCCCATTATGTGTATTCATGAGAAAAAAGAGTTCTTAAAATTTAACATCTAAAGCTTCAAACTTTTAAGTTTTAAGTAGAAAGAATTACTGCCTTTCTCATTAATTTCCTGAGCTGATAGCAAACCAAAGTTTAGATATTCTTAATTAAGGGTAAGGGAAATCATTTATATATGGAGCTATTACCGGCAGGCCCAGCCCTCTCTTAGGTTTGTCCTAAGTGAACAGAATTTCAACATTGTCTTATTCTGTACTTTGTCATTAGAAGATAATCTCTCAATTACTCATGTAAAAGGACAGTACATTTCAAAAATTCAGTGGATTCTGCAGATGTTGTGACTTCATGAAATGTCAAGGTAACCTTCACATTCTACACTGACCAGTGGTGAGGAAGCCTTGTTTCACAATAGTGTTTCACGTATCAGAGCTTACCACAGTCCCATCCTTGACTTTTCCAGTTAATTAATCCGATGTCCCATTTTTTTTCCCTCGTGGGCCTACTTCTTAATATGTCCATCTTTCAAGGTTTTAAGAGTTGCCATTTTCCTTCTGGAAAGATCATGACTCCTTGCTTTGTTGCCTCGGTATTTCGACTTCACTGAAAAACTGTGATACAAAGTTACCCAATTTCAGATTATATATACTGCTTTAGGAGTTCATGTATTCATCACTGACCATAGAATTTTAAGGTTAAAAGATAATTACCCAATGGCACATCTTGTAAATTCAGGTTTATGCCTGGCTCTGGAGTTTTTTTAGCTACTAAATGGTTCCAGACTCTTATTCACAGACCTTCATTGAGCCACTACATTTTTATATGGTAGATTGTAAGATACAGAAGCAAGATGAGAAGAGAATGACTGTGGCCTTTCGTTTTGGCCTATCTTAAAATGTGGAATTTCAGATACTAATTTATCTTAGCCCTTAGGGCGTTCGAATGAATCTGTGAAAATACTAGATTTCTTTTAAGGTGCAGGTCCGCTTTGCTGGTTCATGTTATTTGTATGCCCAGATTCCTCCGTGCTTCATCACGTCGGTTAGCTTCCATCTTCGTAATGTATTACTTTTGTTACTTTGTTCTACTTGTCCACTTTTATTTAATGATCATTTAAAAAATTAAGATTCAGTTTGATATTTATGCATGCCATTTAGTGTGTTCCTCAAAGTAGCGATGCTGGTTTCTGTCTGTGTCACTGAGCCTAAATAGCCAATGTCCATCTTCCTAGTAATACGGCATCAGAGCCTCGCAGATTTATGTGATGATGCTTGGAAAGAAAAGTTCCTGTTGATGAAACATGGATTTATTATGTGAAATTCTTCTGCTGTGTTTATAACGTATGCTGTGATACCCCTTTTAGTTTTTTGCAAGTTAAAATGCCATAACTTATGTGTTAGACCTAGAAATGCATGTATGTTTTAGAAGACCGTTCCTCCTCCCTCCCTTTCCTTTGGTTTGTACTGAAAGGTCTGTGTAATTCAAGTCCGGCATTAGACTGGCCATTGTGCCATTTATGTAATTATTTACTTTGAAATTTTAGCTATTTTGGATAAAAGATACAGCTGTAAGATGAAGGCAAGTACTACAGCGTACAGAAAATCAGTAGAAGAAGAGCAGTGAATAAGGCCAAGGATAAGAACACATGGTGTAGTCTCCCAAGTTTGCTTGTTCTCTGATAAATTACTTAATTTTTACTGCAGACATCACAGTTTAAACACTGTACTTAAAGATAGCCTTAAACAAGTGCCTAATTGTGAAAATTTTTCTAACTTCATAGTAAGATTGATTTTATACCCTACTGACAAACCGGTCACGTAGAGTAATTAGTAATCTCTGTATTGAACACTGAGAAGTTTCATGGAGTTAGCTTTCAGTTGAATCTTCGTTTGTTTTAATTGATGAAATACATATAAAATTTTAACCATTTTCAAGCGTCCAGTTCAGTGACATTAAGTACCTTCATGTTGTACAGCTGTCCCCACTATTCATCTCCAGAACTTATTCATCATCCCAGACAGCCTTTGCCCTTAGAGAGCTGACGCCCCATTCCTCTGCCTTCCTATCCTGGTTACCCCCATCCTGCATTTTGTCTCTCTGAATTTGACTATTTGGGTGATTCAGAACATTTGTCCTTTTGTATCTCTTACTTCATTTAGCATAATGTTTTCAAGGCTCATCCCTGTTATGTAGCAGAATTTCACTCTTTTTAGAGGTTGTATAATATTCCATTGTTTATATATGCCACATTTTTTTAATCCGTCAGTCCACGGGCATTTGGATTATTTCCACATTTTGACTTGTGAACAGGGCTGCTGTGTTTGTTGATATACAAACACCTGTTCAGGTCCCTGTTTTCAGTTCTTTGGGGTACATATCCAGAAATAGAATTGCTGAATCATACATTAATTTTGTTTTAAGTTTTTGAGGCGTCACCATACTATCTTGTGCAGCAGTAGCACCATTTTACATTCCCACCAGCAGTGCGTCAGGGCCCCAGCTTCTCCTCATCCTCACCAGCAATTGTTATTTTTTGGTTTTTTAAAGAATGGCCATCCTAATGGGTGAAGTGGTATCTCATTGTGGTTTTGATTCGCATGTCCTTACGATGCATTTCTCTGTGATACTGAACATCTTTTCCATATGCTTATTCACCACACGTAGATCTTCTTTACAGAAGTGTTTATTCATGTTTTGTCTACTTTTAAATTAAGTTGTTTACTTTTTGTTCTTAAGTTGTAGGAGTTCTTTATATATTCTGGTTATGAATCCCTTACCAGATACAGGAGTTGCAAATATTCTCTCCCATCCTATGGGTTGTCTTTTCCTGCTATTAATAGTATCTTTTGTTGCACAAAAGCTTTTAATTTTAATGAAGTAAATTTATCTTTTTTTTTTTTTTTTTTTTTTGCCTGTGCCTTCAGTCTCCGCATTTTTAAAGAGAAAAAAATTTTTGATGAGCGTGTTACTGAAAAGAGGCAGGGCAGAAGAATTACTATGTACAGTGGTGAGGGTCTAGAAAGAGTAGGCTGTCTTGACTGGAATAGAAAATGTGATTCATTGTGTGTCGACTATAGTAAAGCTAGGGTGGGCTGGGCCAGGGATTTATGGAGGCTTGAATCCTTTGCTGAGGTGGTTTAGTTTGATTTGAGGACATCTGGTGCTTTGGGGGAATGCAATTACTAAGGGAACAATAACTAAACCTTGCTCCGAAAGAGAATTCATGCTGCTGTGTGAGGTGTACTAGGAAGTACAGAGGAGAAGGAAAGCTAAATAGAGCAACTTCACATGCAGGAAATTAGCTCAAAGAAAGGCTGTGGTCATGATAAAGAATTATATCACTATCTTCTGAGAATTTAAACGAAACATGCAGACGTAGTTTGCTTTCATATTTGCTATGTGTAGTTAATATTTTTTCTTCTGCTCATTTTCCAAATGACCTCTTTGGGGACTGTTTTTATTATTCTATCTGTGACCTTTTGGGGAGAGGTTCTTCATGGGCTCAAAAAGAGAACCAGAAATGAAAGACATTCAGGAACAAGTGGATTGGATTCTGAGTTCTAATTACAGGTCTTAGGCCCTCCTGGACTCTGGTTTTTATAAACAGTTTCAGAGTTCTAAATCTGGTGGTCTGTTTCAGAGCGTTTCTCTGGAATCTGGCTTAGAAACTTAGATTCCAGTTGCATTGTCTTCCCCAGAGTGTAATGCCTGACCCAGGGTTCATATCTGTGTACTTTGAAACACTAATACTTGTTCATAGTTGAAAACTACTAGTGCACAGTGTGCTTACAACAGTTGTGTGAATGTCGTTTCTGCTTCTTGCTGGTCCTCATACTGTAATGACTGGGAGAAACTTAAAGATTTTCTTGTTTTGTTTTGTTTTTTAAATAGGTTTTAAGGGGTTAAGAAAGGGGTCTTTCAGATCATTATGAAGGGGTTCTATGATTTACCCTAACACAGCTCCATGAGGATTATCTCAGAATACACATATGCAGTTAGTCACCTGCTGTGACAGCTTTGAACAGCTTACTGGGGAGATTTTTAAAGGTTTTTCCAAGTTGAGATTTGATGATGCTTCATCACTATAGCTTTTGCTAAAGGTATGACTTGATTCATCTGTTTATGCTCAGATGATATGTTAGTGGTTTCT